AAAGAAGATCGCACACTTCTGGCCCACAAAGCTCAAAAATATGTTATTAATTCTAATAGATGGCGCTGAAGTATAGCGTTTCAGGCATTTTAAATTTTAACGGCGTTTCAGGCATTTTAACTTTTATATTTTACTATCGACACCCCGAAATTAACATTGTATACAATTCGTATCAAATGAAAAGATAAAAAATCTGAATAACGTGTGAATTATCTGTTTATTTATTTAGTATCACTTTTGTTTCTTTTACAAAGAGTCTTAATGTTGTGTTTTGGCGATAAGTTTTTTACTTAACTGATGTCTGTACTCACGAGATCAAATCAGAACGAAAAATGAAATCTTATTCGATAAATAAACCTATATGTATACGATGAACACATCTGAATTGCTTTTGAACACAAGACTTTAGCAAATTTTAGAGCTGCAACTGCATTGTAGATTTCATATTTTTAATGGTAATTTATGGGGCTGTTTTCAGTCGGTTGAAATCTTAACTAAGTTAATTATTTCGTGAAGAATTCACGGTTGAAGTAATGCACAGTTTTGACAGAACCATTGACCACTCGGTATTGTGTTTCCCATGCCCAAGCAATCCATGTGAAACCACTTGATTAAGCAGGTTGGATTGTCGCAAAATATCATATTACCAAATGAACTGCGTCGGCAAATGCACCATTCATTCGGTGGAAGGGGAGAGCAATCAATTTGTAGTGTGTGCGAGCGAGCTGAGCGACGGCCTGGCTTTATTGTTGTCCTTGGCAGTGGACATGTGTTTCGGCGTTGACGAATTTTTTTCGGCAATGATTCGGTTGGAAGTACGATTCCAATGATTTTGAGCGCACGGGTTAACGAACGGGTCACTGAAAATGCAATAAAAATAGAAATTATTGCCTTACAATTTTGCCTATTGAATCTATTTTTGAAGTTGGCGGAAAAAAAATGAAAAATTCTTACCTCTAATGGATTTTTGTCGTTGAGATGCATGAATGATAAAATCGAATCGGTGTGTTGAACAAATGCGAGCCATTTCTTCTTCTCTCTCTCTCTTTCTCTCTTCCTTTTTCTTCATCAATCTGGTTTCTATTGACATAACAATTTTAAATAATCATATTTCATTACTAATCCACTATAAAATATACATTTATGTTAAGTAGTTGATATATGTTATTATACTCACGAGGAGCCATGTTTGAAGAAAAAAAATCAAAGAGTTCACAACAATGATTTGGATATCGCCTGATTAAGCACTGATAACCGATTTCATAAGCATTCAAGAGACTATTTTGTTTGATATGGCCTAAAAGAAAAGGATGAAATCGATTTTATTTAATAGCATCGCACTTTGTTTTGCATCAAATTCTTTTTGGTGGTAAAATTCTCCAGACTTGTGTACTCATGTATGTGAGATTTATGCGATGTGTGTATTTGTGCTTCAATTAAAAAAAATAAACATGACAAAAGAGAAACCTTTTCATCCATTCTTTTTTCGACGCAAAACTTTCGGTCGTATGAATGGAACTAAAAATTCAAAGAAATTCATTGAAAAAAAAAACACTTATAAAAATTGACAAGAGTGAATTAATTCTGACGTTAAAACTAGGAAGCGATTCAATTCTCCGTGTTTTTTTTATCCACAAAACACATTCATTAGCGGCATAAAAACACACATAATACACACGAGGCTCAAAGCAAGCACTTTCTCACAGTAATCATTTGAAATGAATCGTTCAATTTTTGTCAAGCAAATTACTCTTTTTTCTATTTCTTAACAACTTTTGTCTTTAGCTTAGTTGCCTTTCCAAGTCTCATTTAGATTCGTTTCAAGACCTACAACCTCCACACACTGTGATTACACAACTGACTCTTCCTATTTTTTTCTGTCTCATGGACTCAAAAATAACATTTTTGTGTATTTGGTGAAGATCAAAGTAAAAAAAACATGAACGTAGGACGCAATAAAAAAAATCGATATATGAATTTAAACGTACAAGTTTGAACAAATATTTTCAGAATAATCGCGAGGTTCTAAATTGATCACTTTTTCTTCTGAATGCGTTTTATGTTAATGCGCAATTTCCAAAACACAACTGAATAAAACAGTATGTGCGCATGAAAGGATGATCGAGAACTAAGCTTGTGCCGACTTGCAACAAAACGACTGAGTCGATGCTGTGTGATTGTCACTCACACACTCTCTTGTGTGCCATTAACACTCACACACTCGCAGGCGATGCTGTAGCAACCGAAAACACGCAAAAAAGTGTTTGTAGTTTTGTGTGCGTTGAAAGAAATATTTTGATTCCATTTACATAGGGTAGGGAGGGGCTAACTCGTACACGGGGCTAAGTCGTACACTT